TTTTGAGTCCAAGTCTCACTCTGTCACCCAGGCTGGAGTGCAGTGGCATGCTCACGGCCACTGCAGTGTTGATCTGCTGGGCTCAGGCGATCCTTCCACCTCAACCTTCCAAATAGCTGTGACTGCAGGTGTGCGGCACCATGACTGGCTAATTTTTTTGACTTATTGTAGAGACGAGGTCTTGCCAAGTTGCCCAGGCTTGTCTCGAACCCCTATGCTCAGTAAATCCCCTCGCTTCCACCTCCCAAAGTGCTGGGATTACAGACGTGAGTCACTGTACCTGGATTTTTCTTTTTTTTTAATTTAAAAATTTCTTTAGGGAAAAAAAACAGTTAATTGACTTGTGAAGAAATAAAAAATATTTGTTAAAAAAAGGAAAGGAGCCAGGCTCGGTGGCTCAGCCTGTAATCCTGTGCCTTTGGGAGGCTGAGGTGAGTGGATTGCCCGAGCCCGCGGGTTCAAGACCCGCCTGGGCAACTTGGTAAGACCTCATCTCTACAATAAATCAACAATTACTCCATCGTGGTAGCGCGCGCCTGTAGTTCCAGCTACTTGGGAGCAAGATGAAAGGATCGCTGGAGCCCAGCAGGTCGAGGCTGCAGTGTCCAGGGACGGCCACTGCACTCCAGTCTGGGTGACAGAGTGAGACTCCAACTCAAAAAAAAAAAAGGGAAAGGAAACTTTTACAATGGGGGTAATGTGTCTTATTAAGAAATACCTGAGCTGTGCTCAGTTGCTCAGTCTGTAATCCTGCGCCTTTGGGAGGCTGAGGTGTGTGGATTGCCTGAGCCTGCGGGTTCGAGACCCGCCTGGGCAACTTGGCGAGGCCTCATCTCTACAATAAATCAAAAAAATTAGCCAGGCGTGGTAGTGCGCGCCTGTAGTTCAGCTACTTGGAAGGCTGAGGCGGAAGGATCGCCGGAGCCCAGCAGGTCGAGGCTGTAGTGGCCGGGAGCAGGAGCGGCCACTGCACTCCAGCCTGGGTGACAGTGAGACTCCAACTCAAAAAAAAAAAAAAAGAAATACCTGAGCTGAATCTAACTATTTGTATGTATGTGTATGTGTTTATGTGTATAGTTAGATACATATATGGTTTTATATGTATATGTATAGTTTCACTGATTTTTAAAGTGGTTCTGACAAACAGCAAAATAATTATACAAACCTCAGATTTTTATCAGGAGTAATTAACTTTTATTAAAATCATCCTAGCCTAGTGTAGTGGCTCACGCCTGTAATCCCAACACTTTGGGAGGCAGAGGCGAGAGGATTACCGGAGTTAAGGGGTTCAAGACCTGCCTGGGCAACGTGGTGAGACCTTATCTCTACAATAAGTAAAAAAATTAGCCAGGTGTGGTGGTGCATGCTTGTAGTTCCAGCTATTTGGAAGGCTAAGACAGAAGGATCACTTGAGCCCAGCAGGTTGAGGCTGCAGTGGCCCCAAGAATGCCACTGCACTCCAGCCTGGGTAACAGGACTCAAAAAAAAAACAACAAAAAAAACCAGCTGGGTGTGGTGACTCAAACCTGTAATCTCAGCAATTTGGGGGTTGCCTGAGCCCACTGGTTCGAGACCGCCTGGGCAACATGGTGAGACCTCATCTCTACAATAAATCAAAAAATTAGCCAGGCGTGATAGTGCACGCCTGTAGTTCTGGCTACTTGGAAGGCTGAGGTGGAAGGATCGCCGGTGCTCAGCAGGTCGAGGCTGGGGTGGCCATGAGTGTGCCACTGCACTCCAGCCTGGGTGACGGAGTGAGACTCCTACTCAAAAAAGAAAGCAAAAACAAAATCATCTTATCCCAGGTATTTTCTTCTTTTCAAGGTATCACAGACGTCGTATGAAACTGAACCCTCCAAAGGACAGATGATCCTGAGGGTCTTGGGAGTCACAACGAAGGCACCTACTTGCTGTTGAGAGAGTACAGCCTGGTGCATTCACTCATGTGGTATAGAATAAAGTAGTAACAATAAATGTCTTTCATGTATTCGAATGTGTATGTCTTTTATATATTGATTAGTTCTCGATATGACATTCTCACTTAGAGAAACCTATTTCCTCTTTGGATATTAAAGTCTTTTATTTACATATGGCCCCTGACTTAAAATTTTTCCATGTTGTTAAAACCAGACGCATTCAGCAGAACATCAGTCAATAACATAAGATATTCAACACTTTATCATAAAATAAACTTTGATTTGGAGATTTTGCCTAGCTGTGGATAATGTAAGTGTTCTGAGCGTGTTTAAGGTAGGCTAGCATTTCTGACTTAAGATATTTTCAGCTTACATTGGGTTTATTGGGACATAATCCCATTGTAAATCAAGAAGCATCTCTATTTCCTTTTTTTTTTTTGAGCCATGGTCTCTCTTTGTTGCCCAGGTTGGAATTCAGTGGCACAATCACAGTTCACTGCAACCTTGTATTCCTGCGTTCAAGCAATCCTCCTGCCTCAGCCTCCCAAGTACCTGGGAGTACAGGCATGCACCACCATGCCTAGCTAATTTTTAAATTTTTTTGTAGAGACTAGGTCTCACTATATTGCCCAGGTCTCAAACTCTTGGGCTTAAGCAGCCCTCCCGACTTGGCCTCCTAAAGTGTTGAGATTACTGCACTGCACCCAGCCTAGCATCTCTATTTCTATGTGCTTAGTATGATTAAGCATTTTTATATCATTAACCCAACACTGTCGGTAGTGTAAATATGATTAATAAAAATGTTCATAGGGGATTTTTTAATTGCCTTTGAGAATAAATCCCTGAGGTCTACCCAGAAATGTTACAGTGTTTTGATTGGCTTCTTGAAAATAATGAAATTAGTTACCTTTTAATTAGTTTCTAACGTCTGCTAGGCCAGAGGTCCCCAACCCATTCCATGGATGGGTACTAGTTCGTGGCTTGTTAGGAACCGCCCCATGACAGGAGGTGAGCAGCAAGCAAGTGAGCTAAGCTTCATCTGTATTTACAGCTACTCCCCATTGCTTGCATTACTACCTGAGTGCCATCTGTCAGATCAGTGGTGGCATTAGAGCTTGAATCCTATTGTGAACTGTGCATGCGAGGAGGGATCTAGGTTGTGACTCCTTATGAGAATCTAATCCTGACGATCGGAGCTGGAGCTGAGGTGGTGATGCAAATACAGATTAACATTAGCAGGGAAGTGTGACTACAAGAGACCATAATAAATCAATTACTTGCAGATGCATCAGAATAATGATTTTTTTTTTTTGAGTTGGAGTCTCACTCTGTCGCCCAGACTGGAGTGCAGTGGTATGCTCCTGGCCATTGCAACCTCGACCTGCTGGGATCCGGTGATCCTTCCGCCTCAGCCTTCCAAGTAGCTGGAACTACAGGAGCACACTACCATGCCTGGCTAATTTTTTTGATTTATTGTAGAGATGAGGTCTCGCCAAGTTGCCCAGGCGGGTCTCGAACCTGCAGGCTCAGGCAATTCACTCACCTCAGCCTCCCAAAATGCGGGATCGCAGGCTGAGCCACCAAGCCCGGCCAGAATAATAATTTTATAATAATCATTATTTTTATTTTTTTGAGTTAGCGTCTCACTCTGTCACCCAGACTGGAATGCAGTGGCCCGCTCACAGCCACCCCAGTGTTGACTTGCTGAGTTCTGGTGATCCTTCCGCCTCAGCCTTCCAAGTAGCTAGAACTACAGATGCACACTACCACGCCTGGCTATTTATTTTTTATAAATACAAGGTCTTGCCAAGTTGCCCGGGCTGGTCTCGAATCCACAGGCTGAGGCAATCCACTTGTCATGGCCTCCCTAAGTGCTGGGATTACAGGTTGAGTCACTGAACCCAGCCAATAATCATTATTTTATTATACAGCAATGTAGAAACAATAGAAACAAAGTGTACAATAAATGGAATGCGCTTGAATCATCCCGAAACCATCTTCCCCCCCTACCATCTGGAAAAATTGTCTTCCATGAAACTGGTCCCTGATGCCAAAAAGATTTGGAACTGCTGTGCTAGCCCTTTCCATCCATTATTATTCTCAAAATAATCCTTTGAAGAAGTATCAGCTCCTGTTTTACAGGGAAAGCTAACTAACTGACTTGACCCTAACCTTAGGAGCAGAGAGCCAGGATTCAGCTGTCACGCTCCAGGCTTTTGTTCAGTGCATCACTGTGACAAAGGGGCAGTTTCTATCACCCAAGAATGTGCTTTCCTGGGCATTTTTCTGGATAGAATGTTACACAATTTGTTTTGAAGGATTTTTTTCTGGCTGTCTTAAAAAATTATGCTAGCTTTAGAACACATGGAAACAGCTGCTGTCTGATGAACATGCTCATATCACTAAGCTGGTGTTATGAGAATGTTCATAGATTATCCACTTGCTTGTCACTGCCAGCTTACATGTGTTCCTTGATAGCATTGCTGCCACTGCAGTTTCTGCTTAGGAGGTAAGGAATCTTTTTTGTCAAAATTTTTTAGAGACAGATGTCTCGCTCTGTCTCTCAGACTGGAGTGCAGTGGCACAAGTGTAGTTCATGGAAGCCTCCAACTCCTGGACTCAAGCCATCCTCCTGCTTTATCCTCCCGAGTAGCTGGAACCACAGGTGCACACCACCATGCCTATCAATTTTTTTTTTTTTTTTGAGTTGGGGTCTCACTCTGTCGCCCAGACTGGAGTGCAGTGGCCACTCCCAGCCACCGCAGCCTCGACCTGCGGGGCTCTGGCGATCCTTCCGCCTCAGCCTTCCAAGTAGCTGGAACTACAGGCGCACGCTACCACGCCCAGCTAATTTTTTGATTTACTGTAGAGATGAGGTCTCGCCAAGCTGCCCAGGTGGGTCTCGAACCCGCGGGATCAGGCAGTCCACTCACCTCAATCTTCCAAGGCGCAGGATTACAGGCTGAGCCACCGAGCCCAGCTCAGCCTGTCAATTTTTAAAAAATTTTTTCTAGATACGGGGTCTTGCTATGTTGTCCAGGCTGGTCTCAAATTCCTGGCCCCAGCAATTATCTCACCTTGGCCTCCTAAAGTGCTGGGATTGTAGGCATGAGCCACTGTGCTCAACCGGGAATCTTTTCAAAAGGTGAACAGGTGCTTTATTTAAGCTTGTATTGTAAAACATTTGTGATACAGTATTTGTAAAATGTATGTGAAAAATGTCTCTCTTGGTCTGTTTTTTGATCTAGTTATTTTCATAAAGAATGTTTAGCTGAAGTTTCACATGACCAGTAGGATGTGAGCCATAGTGATTAGGAGGCAGCTAAGGAAGTCATTAGTAAGAGGCCCTCAGTCACTCACGGTTAGATTTTTAAGTGGTTTACTTTTTTCGTTAATATATTATTCATGTTTTTTGAAAGATTAAAGGGAAAAAAAACAAGACCTTGATAAATCAGAAATATTTACTTGCCAGCATGTTGATGTATCTTTCAGAAATGGTTACCTTTCTCTCAAGTTGATTTATATCCAAAATTTTCTAAAGTTTTAGATATGATATAAATGTAGAACAAAAACCTAGCAGAAAAATAATGGCAAAGATGGTCTTTTTTTCTAAGTACAAATATCTCCTAAATGGGAACTATTCATATCTAAGAGGTGAAAACCACATAGCTACATGTCATGTGCTTTGGAGAAATGACTTTGGCTTTATTGTACTGGAAGTATAAATTAACCCTGTCGTTTCTGGGTTTTGGTTTTCACAGTTGCTGATTCTTTATTTTGCTAAATAAATACACGCTCTGTCACCAGTGTCCTCACCCTGCCTCCCATACCCCCACCCCAGAGATAGAAACCTAGTATTTATCATCACCAGCATCTTATGAGAGGTCTACTTACTCTTCTGATTTTATAGACACTTAACAATTACATAAAGGGGGTTGCTTTTTTAAATTAAATTTGACTGGGGCGTGGTGGCTCATGCCTGTAATCCCAGCTCTTTGGGAGGCTGAGTTAGGAGGCTTGCTTGAGGCCAGGAGTTCAAGACCAGTTTGAGTAGCATAGTGAGATTCTGTCTCTACAAAAAAAATTAAAAATTTTTTTAAAATTTAGAGTCTCACTTTGTTGTCCAGGCTGGAGTGCAGTGGCACGCTCATGACCACTGCAGCCTCGACTTGCTGGGCTCAGGCGATCTTCCACCTCAGCTTTCCAATTAGTTGGAACTACAGTTATGCGCCACTATGTCCAGCTAATTTTTGGATTTATTGTAGTGATGAGGCCTCACCAAGTTGCCCAGGCTGGTCTTGAAACCATGGGCTCAGGTAATCTTCTCACCTCGTCCTCCCAAAGTGCTGGGATTATAGGTGTGAGCCACTGTGCCTGGCCCTAAAATTTTTTTATAAAGAAAAAAAAATTAAATAACTTTATGAGAAACGTACTACCCAGTTCCTGTATTTCCATTGTGATGAGGTGGAAAGAGACCAGGCACAGTGACTCATGCCTGTAATCCCCACACATTGGGAAGCTGAGATGGGAGGATTGTTTGAGTCCAGGAGTCTGAGACCAGCCTGGACAACATAGTGAAATCTTGACTGCAAAATAAATACATAAATAGATAAATAGATCAATAAATTAAAAATTAGTGAGACATTGCAAATATAGTCCCAGCTACTGAGAGGTTTAGGTAGAAGGATCACCCTCCTAAGCCCAGGAGGTCAGGGGGGTCATGACCATGCCACTGCACTCAGCCTGGGCAACAGAGTGAGACCCTGACTCAAAAAAAAAAAAAAAAAAAAAGACAAAAAGCATCATTGGTGGAACCACCAGAGGGCACTCTCACACGGCTCAATCGAAACATTTCCTCACCCAAAGACGACTTAAAAGCACTTAATTAGCAGGGAATTTGGATGCCTTGAGAATGACTTGCAGAATAAATGGCAGTAGTGAAGTTAAGTGTTGGAATATTCTGAGGTCATTATTCATTCTGCTTGTCCATTCATCTAGCATGTTGGTGGCATCCTTCTTGGTAGGCCAGCAGCAAAAAGTAGTCCCTGAGGACCATAGTATCCACTGGACT